TTGTTACCCATCATGTGTTAGTCAGGTGGCAAGACTAGAACACACCTCATATATACACTGATGCTCATAAGTTTAGCAACACCCCGGTTTTTTCAAAAGTTTCTTCTGTCATGATCATTATTTCATTTGTTGGTGGGATTATGCATATTTCTTTCATATTTAATAAATTTCTTATTCAAGTTGAATATTTCGGTTAAAGAAATACACCACACAGCTTATTGTAATAATCAAAATGACTTTATTAACCAAACGGTACTAAAATATGCCAAACCATGTGTCAAAAAAGTATGCTCACACAGCAAAAAGTACGTGCTGATTAAAACAGCTTATTATGAAAAAATAAAGTTCGATCATCTAAGAATTAGTTTTAATAAAAGAAGACTGTAGATAATAGACGCATAATCGTCTATTATGCAATAAATATCGGGCGTGCTTTCCCTGGTTTTGAACAACAGCTTCACATTGTCTCCTGCAACTTGCCACCAAATTCTGCCAATCTTGCTTTGAGAGCCGGTTCCATTCTTAATTTACTGCCTGTTGGACCTCTCTAATGTTTCTAACTGGAGATTGTCTCTCATTTATTGCCCTGTCAATCATATCCTAAGCATGCTCGATTACATTGAGAATTGGTAAATATGCAGGCCAATCCAAATGTGGGATACCGCGCTGTTGCAGTGCGTCTTGCACGGACCATGCTTTCTGGATGGACGCATTGTCCTGCACCAAAATGACTTTTCTTTCTGGATTTGCTTGAATGTGTGATTGTATGCACCCCAATGGTATTTCGTCTCTGTATTGTTGACCAGGGCGCCTCCCTTGAATGACGTACGGTGGCAATTTTTTATTGTTTGGCTGAAATGAACTGGTCCTGGTGGCATAATCGAACCAGATATCTTCATCTCTTGCGTCGGTTAATATTGGTCTACCAAAAAAAGGCTTGTCCAATACATGATGAGTTTGGCTCCATTTTGCTACCAGCTTGGACACTTGACTTGGTGCTGCTTTTTTGTTGCCTTGCAATCTGTTTCTTTGGCACCCCAGCACGATGGCTTCCCATTATTTGCCATCTGATTACCTCGTTGAGTCCTCTTCTAACCATTGGTTGGTCCAAAATAACGAATTGTGCCCATGAAACTAGCCAAACTGGCAGCTCCTCATGGCATGGCCAAACTGTGTTTTTCGCAAGTGGCACCCCCATTGCACATTCTATCGTGCCCAACAGTAAATAGTTCTCTAATGTCACGGTCCAGTAAGTCAAAGTAAAAACAAGAGAAATATCTAGCTATTGTACAAATTTTGCCTCAATAAAAATTTTGGTTGCTGAGAAATTCGAGAAATAAGAAAGTGTTGCTTAACTTATGAGCATCAGTGTATATATATATAAACTAAACAAGAATCACGTTTTATTCATCATACATATTAGGTTTTTTTTTTTTTTTTTTTTTACGTTAGCTACTCAATATAAAAGCCTTAATTGTGCCATCTTTCGGCCACTACCCTCACACTCTGGAAATGAGTGGTACATGTATTACCGTTCTGAACAAAGAGGGAACTTTATGGAATACTGAGGTTTCATCCAAAAACGACTTTTGGACTTCTTCAAACTCAAATTACATTCTTTTTAAAAGCAAGACTGAATCCAAACTCTAATACCCCAGTCACACTTATTCGGAATCAGCAGGAATGAAGAAAAATGAGCCCAAACAAAAAAAATTAAAATTCTAACCACATTCGGGGGAAATTTTTCAAATTGACCTTAATTATTGTAAGAGTACCGTTGGAATACTCAGAATGCGCTTGAATTCGCCTGAAATGATGAGTGCATTTTCAATTCTGTAGCTCTCAAACACAGTTCGAATGTAGTTGGGAAACTAGGAATATTTATAATGCTGTAAGAAGGCAGTAAGAATATTTAGAATATACTTTGAACCGCGCACTAGTGTAGTTCGATTGCTGGCAAAATTAATATTTCAGCTCATCCGAGACACATTCAAAACATTCTGGCGGAGTATATAATCCCCGACACACTAGAGACGGAATGGTTAAGAATGGCATCTAAAATACAATTCTTTGTGCATTCCGGGATATTCGAAGAGCATTCTAACAACATTCTAAAAATTCGGACTTCATTCCATATATTTTTACCCATTCTTGTGGCCGACTCGAATGTTTTTGTCATGTCAAAACTTTCGAAGGGCATTCCAAGAGGAAATTTTATTACATTTGAACAGTATTCTAACTGCACTATGACTGCATTCTAAATAATCTCACGGCATTCCGACAGTATTCAAAACATTATGATCAGTTAACATTCCTGTGGCGTTATTTATACATTCTGTGCATCTTGTTTCATTCTAAGTATACTAGAAAGTAATTTTAATTAAGTATTTTAGGAAGTTCAGCTACATTATGTTTGAATTCTTTATATTTCAAATTATCATTGGCAGCCAAACTGGGAGCAGTTGACTGCATTTAAATTCGCTTCATATATCATTCGAGGCACCTTCTTACATACTTCTGCCTGTATTCGGCCAGCAGTCAAACCACACTCGTACGGCATTTGACTTTCATTCGGAATATTCTGACTGTTATTTGAAATTCCCTCCCGATTATGGCACCAATTGTTCAATTAATTCATTCTGGTTGATTCTAGCTTGATTCCTGTTGGTTCCGAATAAGTGCGACGGGGGCCTTAAGTCGCGTGCCAGTTCGAATATTCCCAGAATGTGATCAGAATGTTTCGAATGTTGTCGGAATGCCGTGCGAATATTTAGAATGCAGTCGAAGTGCCTTTAGAATACTACTCAAATGCAATTCTATAATTTTCCACTTGGAATGCACTTCGAAAGATTTTAACATTCAGGCCGACCACAAGAATGGGTAAAACTATTTGAAATGCACTCGGAATTTTTAGAATGCTCTTTGAATATCCAGGAATGCACAAAGAATTGTCTTTTCGACGACATTCTTGTTCATTCTGCCTCTAGTGTGACGGGGGTAAAACTATGGAATTAAAGTGTGCTTTAAAATATAGTAAAATAAAATGTTTGATGGTCACAGTTATGCAATAATTATTATAACTATTATTTAATCCCCGAAAAAGGCCCAGGGGCCGAAATTTCGGATTGTATTTTACAACTATAATGTTGATCTCTCAAGGTGCATCAATATACACTCTTGCCCAAAATGGTTGGTACACGGAAATTTTGGGAGGCGTATCGCCCTGTTTCTTTCATTATTATTGATATTATCAAATTAATACTGTTTATATTGTTAAATATGTGAAGCTGGAGGATTGGTAAAGTCAAGGAGAAACAAACAATGCAAATGTGAAAAAAGCGTAAATTTATTTAGGGTATTTTTTCTCATGCCCCCAAAAAGAGTACTTTATTTGCATAACAGTACCAAGTGAAAAATTAAACATAAATTTATACTGTGATTGACAATTAATATGAAATTAGGGGGGATTGTCAAGAACCATCTTCAGAGTTCATTATTAATCTAAATAGCGGGCATGCCCACCCCGAGCTTGGATACTGGCCGCCAGACGGCGTGGCATACTGTGAACTAGAGTTACAGCTCTTTGGAGAGGAATTCTGGTCCATTCATCTTGAAGGGCAACTCGCAGTTCATCTAGATTTGCAGGGGGAAGGTTTCTCCTCTGAATAGCACGACCAAGTTCGTCCCACATGTGCTCAATTGAGTTTGCATCTGGGCTTCTTGCTGGCTGTGGCATCAGCTGAATGTTGTTTTGTAGGATAAAGTCTGCAATTAAGCGGACTGTTTGAGGAGTTGGATTGTCGTGTTGCAATCTTAACTTGTCTCTGTATATCCGTCTTGCGAACGGCTCCAGGTTCTGCTGGAGAATGTCTCTGTATCTGGCAGCGTTNGCGGACTGTTTGGGGAGTTGGATTGTCGTGTTGCAATCTTAACTTGTCTCTGTATATCCGTCTTGCGAACTGCTCCAGGTTCTGCTTTAGAATGTCTCTGTATCTGGCAGCGTTAAGGTTTCATCCAGGGGAAGCAATGGGCATATACCGTTGCTGCGAATGGCACCCCATACATGTACAGAACCACCTCCTCCAGCTATTGTTTCCTGGATATTTTCATTTAACAGCCTCTCCCCAGGGAGCCTACGTACTCTCATAGCTGGAGGAGATGGTTCTGTATACGTTTGGGGTGCCATTTGCAGAAACGGTATTTGCCCATTGCTTCCTCTGGATGAAAACCTTAACGCTGCCAGATACAGAGACATTCTCAAGCAGTACCTGGAGCCGTTCGCAAGAGGAATATACAGAGACAAGTTTAGATTGCAACATGACGTAGTACGCTGTGAAGCACATGTTATGGAAAACAATACACATTGATATTTTTCCATGGTACCCAGTAGATATATATAAACATTCTACTTGTACTTGGGTGATAATGATGTCTTAGACCCCATTTCCAGAGATAAGATCGATTTACTTTAGATCGACCTAACTCCCTAGGGGTTCACGCTAAATAGCTGTCAGCCGAGCGGACACGAAAGTTAATAACCCCTTTACAGCTTGTAGTAGGCGGGACGGACATTTAAGCCGGATTATCTGACAGTAATCTAGTGAGACTCCCCGCGGGGATAGATCGATTTAAAATCTCTAGGAATACAGCCTTAAACAGCTTTACAAATGGAACTGGTGGTAATTTATACCTACATACATTATCTCTAACAAGACAATATGTACTATCTGTATTAACAGTACTTACAAACATTAATTAATTACATGCGGCATCATATCATTCTCTGTACAAATATTCATTAAGGAGTTCATTTCAATTTCAGTTTCACACACTAGTACAGTACACTGTCGGGCAACTATCATCCAAAAGCAGATATTAAAGGTACAGGGTTGCCCTTAATCATACTGCCCAGTTAACGAGTACTTGGCCAATACTGATGTATAACTATCACAAAATACCGAGGTAAACATCTCTCCAATGGTTTTCTGACAGTGTGTACCATGGATGAAGGGGGAAACAAAAGGTAAGCTTGCTTTATTATTTATATAGTAAGTCATGTCTCGTACATGGAGAAACCAATACTGAAATCAATATCAAGAAATCAATACAGTTATTTTCAAGGAAATAAGATTTTGAGAAGTTTTTATGTACACTTTAGCATATTATCTCCAAGAATACGTCACTGCATCTACAGGACATTAGTGAATCTAGAAAGTATGGGCTAAGATTTAAGACAAATCAAGACAGTTTAGAAATTGAAAATTGCAATAGATGACAGGATGTATATAATATTCTGTAATAACCCTTTGCTATTTGGGTGCTTTGACACTTAAAAGACAAAAAACAAACAAAAAAAGTTATAGGCCTAAATGTAATGAGCACGGAATTTCGAACACATATTAGATATTAAAAACACCATTAAACATTTTGCTATTAGTAATAAAAAGGCGGAAGGGGGGTCAAAGGTATATGTAGGTGTCGAACCCACAGATGTAACAGAACGATTCATGAATTCTTGCCTTGTGGTCTTGCACGGTAACCACTACACAGACGGGCTGAAGGTGCAAACCTCTCATTTTTTGTCTGATATATAACTCACCTGAAGGATTACTATACATTTATAGATTTATTATTTAACAGTATTATTGCCTAAGGATAGGACTAATATTACTAATATTACTGACTAATATTACTGTCATACCGGTGGCTCCCGGGCTGTGCGTCTAGGTTAATTCCCCATTCAGTCATATGGCAACTGCAGGGCTACCCAACTACCAGACTCGGCACCTACGGATCCAGAATAAACCGGTATAATATCAGACCACACTACCCGTTTTCAAGGTGTGTGTCAGATCGCATTACAGAGTGACAGCCACCACACCGATTTTGCCTGGTGCGCGGTGTGATAACCGAGGAAACCCTAACCTAAAGGCCATACATATTCATCCTTCATATTTTTAGACATCAAACGCATCATACTGCTAAACGCAACCAAGGCTAAAAGGGTGTACCATGCTAAGTTGCAAAACATGCTAAGGAGCTAAATGCGTTGAAAAAATGAGACAAATCAGTCACTTGGATGTTTTTACAGTGTACTCTGTCTAGGTGGATTATACTGCTGAGGATTCCTGTGGAACCTCAGCAGGTACGCCGTTTTTTACCACTATACAACTATTTAAACGACCTCCCGTTATACGACTTTCATGCCACCCGTAGAAGAACCGTATAGTTAAATTGATTTATTTCCGTGACATTGCCGAATATATACAAATATAAAACAAAAATGTGAATATGTAAGTAACGGCCCAGGGGCCGGTTTCACAAAGCAGTAGTTAGTTAGCGATCGGTAGTTAGCCTCTCGCTAGTTAGAGTGCCGTTTCACGAAGCAGTCGCTAGTTCTCTCGCTCGTTATTGTCTCGTTGTTGCCTTGGATATTTAACGACTGGTCAGACCAGTCGCTAACTCTAGAGTTTCATCGTACGCATGCGTAATGAGTGAAATAAAAAGGTTGCTTAGTTACCGTTGTCTGTCGTTTGTCTTTGTATCCAATATGGCGGCTACTTTTCTTGCTATCCGTACCGCNNNNCCGTAAATAAATTTACGCTTTTTTCACATTTGCATTGTTTGTTTCTCCTTGACTTTACCAATCCTCCAGCTTCACATATTTAACACTATAAACAGTATTAATTTGATAATAACAATAATAATGAAAGAAACAGGGCAATATGCATCCCAAAATTTCCGTGTACCAACCATTTTGGGCAAGAGTGTATTTGTTAAATGAAATCTGATGCTTTCTTACAGGGTCTGCTGAGTGCGGTCTTGTTTCAGTTTCCCGGTGTTGTCACACCTACAAGGCTTCTGACGGTGAGGAGATTTTCGACGGCATCGAAGTGAGAATCGTCGACGAAAACCACCGAGACGTCCCTCGCGGAACCAGCGGCGAAATCTGCGTGCGTTCGCCGACCGTCTACGCCAACTGCTACGTGGACAACGAGGAAGCATCCAAGGCAGTGATTGACAACGCTGGATGGTATTGCACCGGGGACATCGGGGTTATCGACGCAGACGGGAGACTCGCGATAAGCGGCCGCAAGGATGACATGATAAAGCGAGCGACTGTTAAAATATTCCCTGTCGATATTGAGCCGATACTCAAGCAACACTCCGCCATAAAAGATGTCGTGGTGATAGGCGTGCCTGATGATCGGTTAGGGGAGGAAATCTGTGCATGCGTCATACTAGATGATGCGTCCTCATTGGCTGACGTAAAGAGCTGGTGTAAAGAGCAGTTTTCTGTCGGACCTGATGGCCTATCAATAGCCCCTGTGTTATACGTGCAGTTTTCTCAATTTCCCACGACTGCCTCTGGGAAAACTGATAAACGTTTGGTGAAACAGGCGGCACTGGACTATTTGAAAGTATGACTTCCATATGTGCTCAGGGCCGTAGCCTCCGGGGGGGGGGGGGGGGGGGGGCTCCCCCCCCCCGGGGTTTTGGGGGGCAAAAAAAAAAAAATCCAAAAGGAAAAAAAAAAACGAAAAGTTGGGATACCATTTTTGGGAAAAT